GCAAATCTTTTGGGAAAAATACACTTTCTAGAATTTTAATGTTACGCTGAGTAAATAGATACCAAACATGACATGCTTTAAAATTGCACATGCCCATGCAATGACAACAAAGTACATAGATTTGTATTATCGATAAGTGTTGCTTTAAAAGCCTTTACAGGTCATCAATTTATATTTACACAGGAGGTCTAGTGCTAGAATTACTTCCCCTCGATCTGACATTTGTGTCAATACCTCACATGCATGGTGCAACCACTGTTCACATACCGGCACAGGGTCAGCACTTGTGCACGTAGAGGGGCAAGGGTGCTTTTTTTTTTTCTTGACAGCTCCAATTGCTGGGATGTGCTTACACTTCAGCTGTCAGCAGGGGAACCCTCTGACAGTCGCCACTCTCTGCTTAGAACAGCTATGAGAACCAAGCAGGGAGTGGTCATGTGATTGCTGAATTCTCACCCTTAGAACTGTCGAGGGACAGATGCAGCATCGAACCAATGCTGCATCCACCTGGGTTCGTATGATTTTTTAAAATAAACACACCACAAAAACACAGCCAAAAAGGCATTTTTACTGCGCTTTCTGAGCGTTTTTAACCTCCTTAGCGGTATTCCCGAGTGTAGCTCGGGGTAAAATTTGAATACCAAGAGCGGTAACCCCAAACTACACTCGGGCTTTACCATGGGGCATTGCTCAGGGAGTCCCTGCAGCACTTACCTTGTCCGCTCCTACGATGTGTCCCCTGCAGCAAAACCCTGGCCATCTCCTCCAGCCGATGCCGGCATCCAGCTTCCGTGTTCCGGTCCCTGTGACGTCGGGACGTACGGGCACCGGAGCCGACGGCAAATTTGAAATTTTTAAAAAATTTCATTTTTTTTAAAATGATTATTACATAGCAAAACATTGCTGTTTCAATGCATTTCACATACATTTTGTCCCTACTGCTTTGTCCTGTGCCCTGCCTACATTTTGACTGTTCTTTCTGCCTGGAAACTTAGAAAAGTCCATGGCGTCCAAAAAGCGTCCCTTTACGTCAAAAGTGGTTTAAGACCAGCTAGAGAACAGCGATAGTAAATCAGAACCACTTGCAGAATTGAGTGATAATGATTTGTGGGGAAATTCGTCATCAGACACTGAAAACGATTTTGCAACTTTGCTCAGCGATGTGCGAATTTGCCTCTGTATTTCAAATTTCAGTGTTTTTGGTTTGATTATATTATTGAATTAAATTTATTATTATATTATTTTTATGATTATTTATTAAATTATAATTTATGATTTCGTGTTTCAAATTTTATCCTACCCGGGATGTTTACTAGACTCTTGTTCGGACAGATTTCTGAGTTATTCCTAAAAATTACAGCCTACAATAAAAAACTACATATTTCCATGCAAAAAAATGGTACCGCTTTCAGCACAAAAAAATGGAAATAATCAGACCGCCGAGGAGGTTAAAGGACACGTGACTTAAAATCTGTACCAAAAACACTTCTCAGTGGTGTTTTTGAGGTGCTTTTGATTTCAATGGAAAGAAGTGTTTTTGGGGTGTTTTTTTTAACTCCCCAAACATGCCCCAAAGATGCTGCAAGCAGGAGTTTTTACACTGCACCGCAATCGCTACTCCTCAGTGTGAAACATACATAGATATACATTTACATACACAGGGAAGCAATTTTCTTGAGCTTTTCAGGTGCTTTTTTTAACGCAAAATTGCTTGAAAAACTCCTCGGTCTGAAAGCAGCCTTAATTACCAGCTTTTTAAAAAAATTATATTTCAGCTGTCAGCAGGGAATCCTGCTGACAACTGAAAGAAAGGAGCTTAAAGGTATTGAGTTCAGGTATTGGAGCATTTGCACAAGTACCGATACTTGTGCAAATGCTTAGTATCGGCACCAATACCAATACCAGTATCCGCATCTGTGCAACCCTAAAAAAAACATCACAATCAACAATTTTTGACTAAAAACCAAAACCTTAAAGGCATAGTTCACTTTTACCAAAAAACTGCTTAAGTGGGTAAGCAGTGTCTGTAAATAAAAACAAACTGTGCAACTCTGACTGACCAAAGTTGGTCATGGTGTAGGCCACTTATGTACCTCCCAGCCTGACTGAAAAACTAAGGTGTCTCTGTGATATAAATTTTTTTTTTTATCTCTAATACATAAAAAGACAGTAATTTCTCTTTATACAGGGGTCTTTTTTCTAACTAATTCAGTATAAACTGAAGGGCAATTCTTTTGGTACAGATGCTCCACCAGTGTGTTACTTCCAGGGACCATTGTCCTATGATCCCCTCGATTTGCATAATTCCAGAGATGCAGAGCATAACAAATGTCAAAGGTCGGTTCCTTGTCCCAAACTTCATAGTACCGATTGAATGATCCGGGTCCAATAGGATAAAAATGTTCAGGGCTCAAGATAGTGATATTGCCACACATAAAATCCTCTTTTCCATTAAAGGAAGCCATATTACAAAACTGATTTCGAATACGAGTAAACAAAAATGGCCCTTGGTAGCCCCATATGTCACCACGATAATTTTTAACAAAGTCTTCCATACATTTCCAGGTGAACTCATGGTGGGAAGAGAAACCTAAAACAGCATTGCTAGAATACTGCTTTGACTCTGCAGCCAGAAAGTTGTGATGTGGTATGGGTCGAAGTGATATGAAATCAGTGTCCATGTAAATGCCACCATGTTTCCAAAGTAATGCTAACCTGCAGGCATCAGAACTGACATGGGCCCAGTATATTTCTTTTGCTGGATCAACCTGCAAATAAAATTGAGAGCCAGTTAGAAATAATAATAAAAAAAACAGAATTCCAGTATTTTAAAAATATTGAAAAATTTAACTTTGCACTGTTTAGTTGTGATCAAATGCTTTGCCACCTGTGTGTATAATAGGAATGTTACATTACGAATGCTGAACGTTGATGACAGATATAACGTACTAGTACCTGGCTCTTACACTTGGCACTGTATAGAAAGAGTTCACTGCAGTGTGCAGTGTTAAAAAGAAAAACTCTACCTGCTAAATTTTGTTAACCTTTAAATCTGCTTTTAAGGCACATCAAACAGTTTGAAGGGTCTGGATGCAGCAGTTTATATGATAAAGGGAATTCTAAAGAAAGAGGGTGCACATGAGGTGTTCCTAGGCAGACTAGGTAGAGTTGGTGATTTTATTCAAGAAGCTAATCTTTATACCCGGTTACAGAAAAAAGGATATAGCCATTCTTGTTTAAAGAAAACCTTTAATAAAGTTCATTAACAGGAGAGACGCTCCCTACTGTTTGGAAAATCGAAAACGAAAGACGATTCTAGGGTAAGGCTTATTACTACTTATACTAAACAACATTCACAGATAAATAAAATTCTCCAGAAATATTGGACTCTTTTGTTGGCTGACACGACAGCAAGTAAATATATACTGTATCTCCAAACCACATGGTTACATATAAACGAGCGCATTCTGTAAAAGATAAGTTAGTACGGAGTCATTACAGTCCAAGTCTACCTAATCCTACCAGTAATACCCGATTCCTTTTTCCTGCCATAAATGTAATTTTTGCAGCCTTATGCCAAATTGTGGGGAAGTTCATCTCCCAGATGATTCAGTCCACTGAATAAATACAGAATTACGGGGGGCGCATGCGCGGCCGGCGATCGGATGGAAGTGCACTGAGCACTGCTCCATCCCCCCGCCAGTAAAACACCGGCACTCACCGACCTCAGGGGGAAATAACCACTCCATTACCTCTCCGACCTGTGCCCGCACCTCATCAGCTATGCCCCGGAGGAAAAAAACCCCGGAGCAGCCGGGGAAACTCACCAAATTCTTCCCTGCTCTCCTGCACGAATTCCAAGATGGCGCCCCCGCAGCAGCACACACAGGACACCAGCAGGCCACGAGGAGGACTACAGGTCCCAGCAAGGAGATCCCAGGCTGCAGTTCCAGCTATACCCAGGGGACCCTGGTGAGTTGTCACCCCCCCCACTGTCCCCTACAATTAGCAGCCCAGCCAAATCCCGGCCACGACTTGACCAGGACCCTGACCCCTTCTGCCGGCCTCTAATTAACCCACCACAACCTCCTCCTGCAGCACTGCCAAATATAGATGTCTTCCCTGCAATTGACCAACCATTAACAGAAGTCTCTATGAAAAACATGCTGACTTCGCTAAGACAAACTTTGCATGACGACATTTTTACATCACTGAATCAAATGTCCACCGCAATACAAAGGCAGGAACGTAGAATACGCCATATTGAAAGAAACATGGGAGACATAATAACGGCACATAATGATTTGATTGACGCTCAAGCGGAACATACGTCTGACATCGAACAAATCAACTTAAAACTGGCCGACTTAGAAGACCGCTCACGTCGCAATAACATTAAATTCAGAGGGATCCCGGAATCAGTTACTAACGAGCTATTGCTGCCTTTCCTGCAACAATACCGCAAACTCCTCCTCCCGTCTCTCTCTGACATTGAGCTTGCGATCGATCGTGCCCATCGACTACCTAAGCCGCCATTCCTGTCGACATCCATTCCAAGAGATGTGTTAACCCGCATACACTTTTACCATACCAAGGAAAAAATTATGATAGCAGCCAGGAACCCACCATCTCTCCCCGCCGTCACACGCAAATCTCCGTTTATATGCGGACCTATCCAGAGCCACGCTACTAAACAGGAAAAAATTGATCTCCATTACCAAAGCCTTTAGAAACCATGGCATTGCCTATCAACGGGGCTTCCCCACAAAATTACTAGTTCGGCGACAAGGCAGAACTTTCACCGTCAAAACCCTAGAAGCAGGCCTAGGCTTGCTCAAAGCCTGGAACATCCTCCCTGCAGACGGGCAGGAAGCTACACCTGACTCCGCTCATCATATGGAGGCAACATAGCTGACTACGCGGCTCACCCCATGTGTAGGCACACCTATGCACTCCCCCCCCCAGAGGTCTCTTTTCAAGACACAAATATCTGGCGATTGGCCTAGACCCGATGATGTTCACCCTACCCGCTTACGATCGGCTTGACCACTTTGGTGGTCAAAGCCAGTTCAAGCTCCCCAGTTCTGAAGTTAGCTACTCAGTTTACTTGCGTTTTTTGCAAGTGCGTTTTTACTCTCTTTTTTGTCCCTACCTCCCTTTTACCATGGCACCACCAACTATATACTCCTATGCCTTTAAACAAGGAAATCTTGAATCAATACCCACCCTATATCTCCACCGTTACTCCCACATATTTATGGCGAAACAACCTCCAAAGAAAGAGAACGGAGTCATTACGGACGTCCATGATTTCTCTCTACCTTCCAGCACCTACCATGGAAATGTCATAGCAGTCCCGCAAGGGCACGCTACCACATCCTGATATGTCAGATTCCATGATATATCCCCATACCCATGGTGAACGTATACGGCCCAAACAACAAGCAGCTGCAATTTTACCGCAAGCTCTATAAAATCATCTCTCATCACGAAAACTAGGTAGTAACTCATCGTCGGCGGAGACTTCAACGTTACAAGTAACCCGGTTATCAGACTCATCCTCCAACAAAACATCTACCAAACCTGCTCTCGCCCATTTTTTTGCATGACCATGATCTCTACGACATTTGGACGAGGTGCCAGCCCCAAACCGGCACCGAAAGAGACTATACCTACTATTCCTCTCCCCAACTCTTACCTAACTCAGAATAGACATGTTTGTTACCGACAACCCATGGAACGCTACAAGAAGTGACTTCATCCACCATTGGGACGATAACCTGGATCGGACCACGCACCAATCCACATTTCCTTTGGATGACTCTCGGCGATCGACAAAATCCCTCCCATCTGGAGACTCAACTCTTCTCTTCTAAAAATACTCCTGAACACCAGAAGCACATCCTAGAAGCCATAACCTCTTTTTCTCTACTAACGCTACCCTCAATATCTCTGTTAACTACACTTTGGCACACTTACTAAGCTTACATGAGAGGCATCCTCATACAATTAAATTCCCTTATTAAGCGACAGAGATCCCAACAAATTGACCAACTCTTGAAGTCATCCACCTTAACGAAGAGAATTAATAAACAAACCGCCAAACGCCTCCACCTCACAGCCCAAAATAAAAAAAACTAGATAGAAACAAATTACGCGCCATTCTACTGCATAATTTGACGACACACTAATCTCCAAAAAACGAGAACTAAATTTTCTATGCACTTGGCAACAAAGCTAACTCACTCCTTGCTAAAACTCGTTAAACAAAAGCAGCTTGGGGGCGTGTCCAAGATGGCGACGGGGACAGGAACGCTTAACACTGAGCTCCTGACGACCTGCTCCGTATCCACTGCCATTCTGAGGATAGCAGCCATCGGGTCCCCGTGATAGACCCTGCTGTGTCCACGGTAGGGGACGTTTTCTCGAACGGGTCTGGACCTTGCTGATCCAGATCCGCGGCGGCGCATTCAAGGCGTGGCCGGTCACCGGCCGAACGCGGCCAGGCCCGAGAGACAACCCGGCCTAGTCGCCTGCTGCCAGGTGAGAGGCCGGGGCACGAGGACGAGCGGTGCATCGGTCACGAGGAGAGGGTTGCAGATCATACCTCTACTCTCTCCCTCCTTCACACGAGCGGTGTGGCGGCTGGGAGTCCTCACGTCCCACATCGGGAGTGTATCGGCTATATCTCCTCATCTGAGGCCTCCAGTGGAGGGGTGGGGCTTGTCGCGGCCCCGCACTCACGTGTACAGGCTGGTGAGTGAGACACCCGACGTTAAAAAGGACTGCGCAGTCCTAAGATAGATACTCCCCACATACTGTATATAAGTGGGCACCTCTCCCTCATTATCCATCGGGGCACCCCCCCAAGAGCCCAGAGAGGGACGTGGCCTATAGTAAGGGCCTACACACTTCCCACTAGGATCTGTCTGTGACAACTAGGCCCGAAACAGCAGCCTCTCCTACAAAGCTTTAATAGGGAAAAGCAGAGGAAATCCTTGCACTCCATGGAATCCCTAATATGGCTTCAGGAAGCCAGAGAACATAGATTCATCACATGCTGACCTCTGCTTCGCCCTAGCTCCACTATCTGCTAAGGTTTTATGCATGTGATCACCCTGATTTGTTCATAGAAATACTCCTTTCTTATTTCTTTCTCGTTAATTCTGGGGTCCAGGCTGGCGCCCCATTGAAAATGTCTACATAATAACGTGATCCTTGTCACCAACAGAGGTGGGATTACGCATTTCATAAACAACAGAGAGTAACCGGAAAACATGGGGGAAATCAGATAAGAAATCTACTACCCCATCGCTCACGATCCCCTCCGCGGCGTCTGAACTGGTCCGGCAAATCGCAGCATTCCGGAATTATTCCCGGTCGCAAACGACCAGATCACATGGAAGCCTCTTCTCGTGATAATCTCCATTACACTCGCCTCACTACGGAAACTCATCACACTCAGTGCCTGAATAAGAGCCAAGCGGCTATCACAACGGGTCACCCTGAATCCCTCTCACCTCTCACCTTAGGAGATTTAAGCGGTTGTGTCAGATATTAAAGGAACTCTATCTACAGCTATAGCCGAGCTACATATCGATATGCAAGCAGTAGCCATCAGGCTTGACGCAGGTAGAAGTTTAAAAATTAAACGCTCAGATCGAGCCGTTTTCTGTGAGATGAGCAATACAGGTTGACATGCAACACATTTTACATTTGAGAGAGCTTGACCGCCACATAGAGGACCTGGATACAACAGGGAAGACGGCATAATTTAAAGGGT